AAATGCCGTCCCAATAATTAAAATTCGCATGACAATCATCTATTCATTTACTTTGTACCATTTATATATTTACTAATCAAACAATACTAAATACCAATATTCAAAAAAATCGAAAATAAAATGATAAACATAATCAATATCATCTTAAGATTTTGGCATTTTTTGCAGCTGAAAGTGTGATCTTAAAAAGGACAGAGCGTTTAATGATTTATCAGATAGCGAACTTCTCAATTTGTTGCATCAACAGCTGACCGAAGAAAAAGCTCGCTCAGCTTCTACACTTGTACTAGGTACTACAGATAGTAAATATTTGTAAGCTGCAGATAAAATATTTCTCGACCGCCCCCACTGGTTTCGAAGACACACACTCTTATTATTGATTAAAAATCAGTGCCTATAGTTGCAGTTGTACTTTTAGGTAATTTGGATATTTCCCTCTCCAAATTTTTCTGGATGGACACATCGTCATCTTCAAAACTTGTATTTAACGATGACGATGAAGTAGAAGGTTCTTCTGTAGCAACACTAGCAACCATCTCAGTAACTGCTGCGGTATTCAGTTGTTTATTTTGTATTTCAAACGAGTCAGTAAATTAACGATAATTTTAAGCAATTCATCAGATGTTAGTTTTTTGAAAATGTCACCTACACTATCATTATCACTAAAATAAGCTTCAGGGTCATGTAAGTATTGTAACACTCCAGGTATAGAGAAACGTCGCTCTTTTATACGTTTTCGAAGTGCCTTTGCAAGGTTTTGGCTCATCTCATTAGCCTGTCCATCTAATTTTGTTAACATAAATTTTAAAGCAATATCAGCTTTTAATAAGTATTATATGGTGAAAACCATATGTGTAATTATACCGTTTTGTGCGCCAGCTCCTCAGTTTATCTCACTCGCGTTCATGCTTAACATTTCGTCTTTCTATTCATATAACCCTAATAAAGACTTGTTGATTTGTAATACCGTAAAATCACGGTATTGACTGATCAATACCGGTATTGAAAAATACCAACAAAAAAACCGTGATTACGGTATTACGGGATCCCGGTATACCGGTATTGAAAGCCCTACACCCGACACACACTATGAGGACCACCTTATTAGATTCTGGCAACATTGTAACATGAAAGCACACCAAAAGAAATATGTGCAACCAGGAAACAGAGGCTGAGAGAGAGAGAAAAATGGAGAGTTATATAATTCTTATTATTTTCCACCAGATAAGGTAAAACCGGCAAGATAATTGGAAAACTTCTTGATAGCTGTAGCAGCAAAATGCTGAATTCTAACATATTTCTCGATAAAAACCTAATCAAGTTTATAGAGATAACTGTTGCGACAGTAGTAGATCAATCACAAAGAAAACGAACACGATACTCGGCGCTAAAAGGTTAAGAACCACTGATCTAGAGAAAAGGACCCAAGCCAACCAATGCAAAATGTAATGTCATTAAAAAATAAAAATTAGAATAGAATTTCCATCTCATCGTATTATGAGCTTTGATGTTCTGTCGAATTATGAAATGAAACTATCTTTACATATATAATTCTTCTGTGAGTGTGTATGTCACTGAACTTCTCTTAAACGACTGGACCGATTTTGATGAAATTTTTTGTGTGTGTTCAAGGGGATCTGAGAATGGTTTAGATTCACAATTTTGTCCGCTGGACAACCCCATTTTCTTATTAGGGCGGTACGAAGTTCGCTGGGTCAGCTAGTTTGTATATAAAACAGATCAAAATTATCGTAATCGGAATATTCGTATACAAACTTACATAGAAACAAAGGGAAAATTAAGTCGATGTTTCCAATAACGAGGGGAGCTCACGCGTTAAAATAGGTCAGTGGGAACATTTGGGGTTTGTAAGAAATCAATGTTTTGATGTTTGTGTGCAGCACACGAAACGGTTCAAAGGGAACCATCATTAAGTAAATTAAATACGGAGGAGCGTTATATAATACATTGAGCAATGCTATTTTTAGGATTCTGTGCCCAAAGGATAAACGAACCTTATTATTAAGTTCGTCTTTACGTCCATGTATCCGTCTAGCTGTCTTTCAGTGGACTATATATACCTCATGAACCGTAATAGGTAGACAGTTGGAAATTTTCACAGAATAAGTAGGTATGTGCTTTTTTACTACTATAACAACAAATAATAAAAGTTAAGTTTAAAATAATAAAAATATATTTCAAATTTAAAACTTACTACGTCGATACGGAACCCTTCGTGTTAATGTTCGGCTCACACTTGGTCTGGTCTTTTTTATTTAATAATATTTTAAGGGACCGGAGGTAGGTTTTCCGCTAGAATTGCAGGGCTATTTGAGGAAGAAAGTATTCAGAAGATCACAGTGGATAAAATACCTTTTGGTGGTGTTGTGTTTCTATTGGTGATTAAGTTTTCCAAGTCTCCACGGGGTAGAAGGGGGGGGGGGGGGGCAATGCACATTTAATCGCGTAGCGCGTAGAGCACAGATGAAGCCAAAACGTATTGGTTTGGGCTTCCAATGGCGGAAAAGACGAAAGTTGAGCGCCTATAAACATTCTACAATAAGTCTCAGAAAGAATGTTGTCGGTTCGATCGTACCAAAAAATATTTTTTTTCGGTCAGCTTAATGGGACACAGCTCAATGTAGGGTGTAACATTTCAAAGATTGATGAATAATTTATTTGATGAAGTGCAAAATAAAAACAAAGAGTCGACAGTGATTGCAGAGTTGGTTTTTCTTAGAACAACGTCTTCCGCAGTTCCGCAGCAGTACGTGCGAACCGAATGGATGACAAACGTGACTTTTCTACTTTAAAAACAACGGATTCTTGTAGGCCGCAATTTTTCATAAATCCAAACAAAAAAGACTAGAAAAAAGTCTACGCTGTCCAGGCATCAGACAGGATACGATACTGCACCTTTTGCTATCCTTCTAAAGATTATAAATTTAGCAGTTGAATTCTTCAAATAGATATGTTTAAATGTTCTTTTCTGTTATATTGTAAACTAGCGACCTGCCTCGACTTTTGACGTGTGAAATTTAATTGAAAGCGAAAATATAATTAGGAAAATATAATTATCTATGCCACTTAGGAATCATGTAACTTTCAACGGGTAAAAGAATTTTCATTATCGATCCTGTGGTTCCAGATATTACTTCCTACAAACAAAGTATTAATTTTGGCCCGCGCAGACGAGGAACTTTCGTCCACGGACTTATTTAACCGCAAAAATAGGTCGCTGCATTGAGAAACGCACGTGAGGAATTAAAATTCCCCGAACAATAGGACAGGATAGGATAAAGGTAGGCGGGAGTCCCCGCAAAAAATAGAACTCATGTGACCCAGTATTCTCCTTTAAAGCGTCTTCTCTTTTTCTTCAACTTCATGTCAATTATAGAACACAACGTTAACTGAGAATATTCACTTCCATAGAGTGCGCGTCTCTTAGTTTTCGTGCAAGAAATGTTTGCACACTTTGTACGTTGAGTCCGTGACAAGTCCTCGGTGGACCTTTCTTTTTCACGATTAGGGACTTTTGTCCTCCGCGGACTTAACGTCTTTCGTCTGCGCAGGCCATTTTACGAAAAATAAAACAACGCCTTTATCATTGTAATTTTTTTTCTCGCACTATTCTAAAGTTTTTGCATTCACACTTCCAACAAATACTACGCTACTTAAGTTAATTTCATGCTGAATTAAATATGTTAATTAGCCGAAACAAATATGAACGACGAAAACTCACGTTCAAACACTTATTGTTTGTAGTTATTTATTATAATGTATAATAGTAAAATTTATACTGACATAGAACAGAGACCATTGATGTCATATTGTATTGAGCTCAAGGGCATTACGACGTTATTTATATGACTGGCTCCATAGTTTTCTCGTTCGTGAATAAAGCTCATTAATTTTCCGATTGCGTTATTTTTTATTGATTTTGTATGCTGTAACAAGGGATCATCATTACGGTATTGCAAAAGAAAGAATTTTAAAAACTTATTAGAAATATGCATAATGTAGTAGTGAAATCGTCACAGATAAATCATCATAATTATGCTTGTAATAATGTATTCTTAATGCTGTCTCTTTCATAAATTTAACGAAAAGAAGTGATGAAGATCGCTTTTTATTTAAGCCAATATACGACAACACTACGGCAATTAATTATTTCCCTTCAGTCTTTTGTAAGACGAAGGATACTACTAAAGACGGGCGTTTCAATACGAAAAGGAGCGACAAAGATCTATCTTCCATTTAATAAACGCTTAAAAAATCTGTATCAATTTAACTCAATGTCCGAAAACACTACGGGACTTAATCATTTCCCTTCAGTCTTCGGACTGAAGATCTATCTTCCTTTTGGTGCACTCTTAAAAAAGTTGTAGCAATTTAACTCTATGTAGGAAGAAGGACGACACTATGAAACCATTTCCCTTCAGTCTTCTTTAAGATGAATGATACTACTAGAGACGAGCGTTTCAATTCTAAAAGGAAGAAAAAAGAACTGTTTTTCTTCATCCTTAAAATAATCAGACATAACAATGACGGCTCCATTTCCTTTCAGTCTCTTGTAGGAAGTATTACAGACGAGCATTTCGATATGAAAAGAAAGCAAATAAAATTATTTATCTTTTATTTAACAATGAGGATCCGTAGCGATTTTTGTTGAGAATGCAGATTTAAAGAGCTAAGGAATCCATTAAATACAGTGATTATTTTTTTGTTTTACGACAAATATTGACGAAGTTATGACCAAATTACTAAACTAGTTTTCGGCTAGCCGCGTGGTGGCTGTGATTATTAGTTATAAAATTAACCGATTTCGATGATTTACAAAGTATATTAATTAAAAAGCTTATTAGATAATTATACTGTTGATTTTGAGTTGAATTGCTGACCTAGAAATGATCCTCATTAGGCTATGGATATGACTAGAGAGGTGCTTTAAAGAAAGCAAATGAACTTTTTTTTTGTAACAAACAATTCAACGGACTCACCAGACGGGCGGAACTTGGACACGTCCTCCCCACACTTCTCCCGATTGTAGTACATCTTCTTGCACATTATCCATGGTCCGAAGTAGCCCTGTTCGTAGTTTGGGTTCTCCACTGCGGACAAGGAAGAAACAGTACATAAATATTATTTTAATAAATAAATTCCGAACAAATTACACCCACAAGGATGTGATTAAGGCGTGATTCTCTCAACTTAAAACTTAATTTGACACCAGTTTCTTCTTTTCTTTTCGCATACAGCATGACAAGGACACACTGTTTTCAAAACTTAATCTTAGGTTTAAAGAGTATTGCCAGAATCGGGCTCAATAATAAAAAAGCGTCCAACTTAACAGAGACTGTACTACAGATAACTGATATATAAATAAGACAATATAAGTCTAAAGAAAAAATATAAAGAAATCTAGCAGTTTAATGCTTAAAAAAATAAAAATATAAAGATAATATAACTTTGGTCTAGAATGAGTTCATAAAAAAGACCTTTGTATTCAACCCAGGAACCTTTGGAGCTTGAAACAGAAGGCAGAATTGATACACGAAATGATCGTCAATTAATAAAAAACTTCTAATAAAGAAACGGGATGTGGGGACTGTAAATTTATAGATATAATTTCTAAGATAAAATATAGATAGTTTTAGTCCGTTTCTAAGTTCTCTAGACACACGACATCTGAAAACTTAACCACTGAAAGAAAGGGATAAAAAAAAGCGTGTCAATGATGTCTTGAGAACAATGAAAGATAAACTATCAGATATATTTAAGACATGGAGCACCCCCACTAGAGTCCGCATACAAGGGCAAGCGCTTACGCCAAGCTTAAGTAGTATATTACGTATGCGTGAGACACGCCCACAGACGTCGCTATACATCGTTTCATTCCGAAGCCGAGCGTTAGCAGAAGTGCTTCTCTCGTTTTTGCGTTAATAAACTAGAAAAAATGCCGTACTGTGCAATTAAATTATGTGGAAAGTGGAGTAAAACTTCCAGTCTTCAAAAAGATGGTATTACTTTTCACCGGTAAGTTTAAATGCATTACAAAAAGACAAAAATACTCTGATATGAAATTGCTTTAAATTGTATTTATTTTTTGGTGAACGCGTTGATGTCTTTTAACACTATCCCTTTCTCGCATGCGCTACATCATATATGCTATTCCGCTCTCACACCGGCACGTGTATTGCTAGTGACTTGACGCAGCTCATGTCTGTACCCGTAAGTTTATCGATAAGTTTGTCAGCTACGGAAATAGAAAAAATAAATAATAACTATTTATTTCATCGTATACAATAACAGATATCATGAGTATACAACCAACAGTTTTTAATCATATCGTACTAAAATTTTAAACCCAAAAATTTGTATGGATGTTTGTTACTATTACACGATTAAACCGATTTGTATGAAATTAAGTGCGCATACTTTATGACCTAGATAAAGACATGGAATTAACGATATTAAATACCCTAGATCAGCTATACTCTAAGTGTGTTCCGCGGAACCCTAGGGTTCCGTGATACCTCTGTCGGGGTTCCGCAAGAATTTAGAAATAAAAAAATCAAAACACCTCTCTCTGGTCGCTCCGCGGCTGTGCGGACTCCGCGGCCGCGCGGAGACAAAACGCTATGAATGTTATTTATTTATTTATTTGTATTTGTATAAGCTTGTGTTACATTAGCTGGTACAATATCTCATAAGTTTGGTCTCAACAATTTTATACTTGTACAACGCGTTCGCTCTAAGTTTGCCGGTCTGTGGAATGCGCGTACCCTCCCCCACGTGACAACAAAACTTATAATGTGTCATAGTTTTACCCAAATATCTAACGTACACAATTTTTATTGTTACAATTAAATAAAAAATTTCGAACGTCATACACTCATACCTATCGCCAGCGGCAAACTTAAAACGAGCGGGTAGTATACTTGTAAGCGCTCAGTCTCTTTGATAAAAGCCGCCTCTGAATTAGACGCTATAGTTGTCAACTAGCGACTTTCGTCTCTAACTTCAAAGGATAAAGTCGATATTGTTTACAACGCTATTTTTAAATTTCTGTTTTTATTTTTGCTTTTTGTTTATCAAAGGTGCCGACTCGAGTATTTTCGAGAATATTTGAGATCGAGTCTAGGACTAAGTATAAAAGCGGCGATCGCGCGTTGGCGTCGTCAGTTGATGATTAGCGTTCGGAGCGATAAGTTACTACCTACTTACAAGCTCGCTAGCGAGAAACTGGTGTTCATTGTTTTACTGCCTGCTGTATTCTGTTGTCTCAGTTTTATACATTTCTTCCCTGTAGGTTCTAAATTTAGTCTCTTATACGCAGTAACGATTGTGCATTATTTAAACCCCACTATCCTGACTTGTAACATTATAAATAAAGAAGAATGGAACGTTGGCTTAAAGGTGTTAAACGTGTTCCAACAACATCTTCTAATGACGCTGAATGTTCAAAAGCAATGCGCGCGGAGAATTTAGCAATCACCGATCCAGAAGATGATGCCACGAGTGCCACGACGTCAAGCTCGACGGTTTCAAAGACGAAAAAAAGGAAGTATGATGAATCTTATATCAGTTTCGGATTTGTTGATTCCAACGGCTCACCTCTCTGCATGCTCTGTAGTAAACTGCTTCCTAATAGTTCCATGGCACCTGCCAAATTGCGTCGACATTTAGAAACCGTACACCCCGAGACTAAAGACAAGAATAAAGAATTTTTTGTTCGCAAAAAAGATCAGTTATTAGAAAGTCAAAAAAATATGATGCATGTAACACAAACTACCAACGAAAAGGCCACGGAGGCATCATACTTAGTTAGCTATCGCATTGCACAAGCAGGTGAAGCGCACACTATCGCTGAGAAATTAATAAAACCATGTGTATTAGACATAACAAAATGTATGCTTGATGAAAAATCTGCAAAGCATCTTTCTACTGTTCCGCTATCAAACGATACTGTTTCACGACGAATCCATGATCTGGCAAGCTACGTCAAACAAGAACTAGTTACACGTCTACAAAATACACGATTCGCTTTGCAAATGGACGAGTCGACTGATGTCGCTGGTTTGGCTATCCTGCTGGTTATTGTGAGATATCCATATAAAAGTTCTTTTGAAGAAGACATGCTTATGTGTTCATCGCTGCTTACAAACACTACCGGGGAAGAAATTTTTAATAAAATAAATATATTTTTTGAAGAACATAATCTCAGTTGGAACAATTGCATTGACATTTGTACAGATGGGGCCAAGGCGATGACAGGTAAAACAGCAGGAGCAGTGTCACGAATGAAAAATAAAGCGCCTAATTGTAGTTCCAGTCATTGTATTCTGCATAGACAAGCACTTGCGATGAAGCAAATGCCGTCTAATCTAAAATTAGTTATGGATGAAGCGGTAAAAATAATTAATTTTATCAAATCACGACCACTACAATCCCGATTGTTCTCATTATTGTGTGAAGATTATGGCAGCAAACATAAAACACTGCTGCTCCATACAGAAGTGCGATGGCTGTCTCGGGGAAAAACTTTAACAAGGCTATTTGAACTTAGAGCCGAGTTACAAATGTTTCTTTCAGCAGATACTTCTTTTAATTTGAAGGACCGTTTGTATGATAAAACTTGGTTGTTCCGATTGTCTTTTATGGCGGATATCTTTCAAAAACTTAACGAATTAAATTTATCATTGCAAGGTAAACAGACAACAGTGTTTCAGGCCTATAATAAAATAACTACTTTTAAAAGAAAATTAGATTTTTGGATCATTTGCATTGGTAAGAAAGAAATAGAAAGTTTTACGTTACTCACTGAGTTTGTTAGCGAAAACGACTCAGAAATGTTTGAAGATAATGTGTTTGAAGAATTGGTCCAATATCTCAGTTCGATGCGCGCATCTTTTGAAAAGTATTTTCCCGAAGAACACAATACAAAAATTAAAGTGAACTCCTGGATTCATAATCCTTTTTTACCCAACTTGGAAAAGCCTGAAAACATGTCAAATGAGATATATGAATCTCTTTTAGAAATGTCATCAGACACAAGTATGGAGTCATTATTCAAAACGACGCCTCTTAATGATTTTTGGTGCAGAATCCAAGATGAATATGCAATGCTTGGCCAAATGGCTCTGGATATTCTTCTCCCGTTCCCAACTACATATTTGTGCGAAACAGGATTCTCTACCTACGCAGCCACGAAAACAAAATATCGCAATAGACTGGACGCCGAAGCTGATATGAGACTCCAACTTTCTTCCATCAAACCTGATATCAAGCAATTGATGAAAAATAAAAAACAGTTTCATACCTCCCACTAGTTAGATTTTTTCTTTTTTAATGTTTTCTATTATTGTCCTTACCAAGTGGTGAAGTAAATAATAATTAGTAACGGATACATTGTACTTTTATTATGCTGATTAATATAGAATACACTTATAAAAATAATTGTTTTATTGTAGGGTTCCATCAAGTATTTTGCTTCCCAAAAGGGTTCCGTCATTTAAAAAGTTTGAGAACCACTGCCCTAGATAGACCACGAGCGCTCAAAATGTGTCCCAATCAACAAGTGCTTAAACTTTATTCAAGCACTTCTTGGTTTACAGTCACGCGCGGACCGATGAAAAGTCAAAATGCCGCAGAGCTCCGTAAAAATGCGAAAAAAATACTAATAGTACGTAAAGTGTTGTTTTTTCGACAGGTATCTAATTAATGTTTTTATAATTTGGTACATAGTCATCTTTATGTAATACAATAAGTTATTTATATAATTTGAGCCAAATAAACGTTTTTATTATTATTATAAATTTAATGCATTTGAAGCAAATTTTATTGTAATACTTACTATAAACTGATTTAATATAACATATTTGTGATACTCAAAAGCATGGTCGGTTATACGTCGCCCTATAGCCGTCTTTTTTCTTCGCGGTCTGTACCTGCTATAATAGCTAACAGCACATTCAGAATTGAGCGCGAAAAGTTAAAAAAAATAAGGTCTATTTTCTTTCGCATATAACAATAAGTCGTAAAATTTTAGGAACTTGCATTTTGAACTGCCATAAATCTTTGATGCATGCGTTTTAATTAAGAGCTTATG